TATCTGAGACTCTGATGAAGGAATGTAGTTTTCTTAACATAAAGGTCGACCGTACGGAAATCGCAGTCGTATATACCACTTACAGCAAATTATGCCAATGGAGATCCAAACAGTGAAAGACCATACCTGAAGAATGCCGTTAGGACCAGGAAGTCACCACCGGGCCGATGCCGGAAAAGACACTCGCGTCTAATTGCCGTCTGTGCTTTCCATACTATAAGGTCGCAACTAGTCGCCATCTGTGTTTTTCGCACTACGCTCCTAAGCTTGGAGCAGTTTTGTACTCGAACACACCAGATAGAAGCCTCGAGGTTGTACTACTGCGACCAGGACGACAGACCACCAAGAGACCCCATGGCTAAATGCCACCAGGAAATCATCACGACACCAGGAGAGCACAAAGAGATTACCAGGAGGCCACCAAGAAGTCGGGAGACCACCAAGACGACAACAAGCAGGGGAGACCACCAACAGACCAGCACGGCACCAAGATAGCTCCCAGAGACCGGCAAGACACCAGAAGATCACCAGACCACCAAGAGACCAGCAGGAGACGAGCAGGACACCATCCAGGAAACACCAACAGATCATCAGAAGACCAGCAGGACACCAGGAAAGCACGAGGAGGCCACCAAGAGACCGGCAGAAGATCACAGGACTGCCAGAATGAGTGCCCCCATGTGCAGAATGCATTGAGAACCACGCACCGAATGCTTTCCTGCAAATGAAATACTGGTGGGATTCAGGAGGATTCAGCAGCACCAGGGCATGGCATTCCCACAGGCACTGGCGGGTCCAGACCATGCGATTCAAGGGTTTCGAGTGCCAAATTGGTACATGTAGTGTTGTTGGCAATGAATCCTGGCCCCGGGGCGCGTGTCACACAAATGCTCAACAAAGAGTTGGACGCCAGCGAAAAGTATGTAACAGCAGGAGAAGCCGTGAGCATCCTGTGCAGATGGACGCAGAACCGGATTTGCAGCATATAGTAGGATGCGGGAAGCCATTTTTGCGCACACGACTCGAGGCCACCTCTGTCAGTTCCCAACGCCGGAACCCCATAATGTTACCACACCACTACGATGCTGGACGAGTATGTGGTAATCTCTTGCTGAATCCAGCCACGGCAGGGTTGCAGCGCATCTTCTTAAGCAGTTGAAGTTGCGCGTTCAAGTTTGCGGGCTACATGCACTACTCTGAAACAATCTCTCTACGGGATTATCCCATATTGCTTCCGAGTAGCAGCTTGCAACGAGACCCTCTAGTGCACGAATCATGTGCAATTCAGCATCACATATTTGACCTTGGACTACCAGGCCGATCGCCACATTGAAAGTTTTTGTAGCAAGTTCCATTCGTCGCTCGAGGGAGGAAGCAGCAAGCATCGTTTCGAGCTGGAGTGCTTCCTGCAAGAAAGCCAAAGCTTCCTCCACTCGTTCTCTACCAGATTGTTTGAGGATGCACACTCCGAGATTGGTACATGTTGATCCGAGCTCAATAGATTTACTCTCCAACCGCAAATCGCGGCACCTGCGCATGACAGCCTCTGCTTCCTTGAGTTGGCCATCATCAATTAAGTAACTCCCAAGATTGTGCAAAGCGACTTCCTGCAAATCCGAATGGCCGACAACAGATTCCGATTCCAACAGGCACCGCAGGCTTGCAACCGCTTCCTTCCGCCTGAAGGTATTTGCTAGAAGTCCTGCTCTAGTGATGATCGTGCCAGGACCACAGCACCCGCAATCTCGCGCTCTGTCAAGCAGTCTTTCCGCTTGCAAAAAGCAACGCCGTTGCATGTAGATGGTTGCCAACAATTCACAGCCCAGTCCTGCCTCCTCGCTACTTTCCTCGGCGTTGATCTGATGAAGGTATCTCTTCACAAGAGATTCTGCTTCAGAGTACTTCCCGGCTTGCAAAGCAGACGTAGCTTCGAATTGGAGCTGCAAGAGTTTGTGTTCTGGGGACATTGGCCTCAACTCGAAAAGTGTCTCTTGGAGTCTCTTAACACAACGGGTGGACCCGGAATCCATACTCAACTCGGCGATGGCCCGTGGCAGCAACTGCCAGAGCCCTTGCAGTGACTTTGTATCGTCCTGGCACGCCTTGAGAATGTCCGCGGAATCTGCAAGCACCTTACCGGCATCATGCCAGCGGCCGATCTTGGCATACAACGTGCCAAGATAGAGCCAACTCTGACCCACGCATACATGGGCTTCGCCATGCAGATGGATTCGTCTGCGCAAAGCTTCCAAGTAATACCTCTCAGCTTGGTCAATGTCCGCTTTTCTGGCTGGACTGTTTTCCATGGACAGAGCTCGCCTCTCGTGCACCTGTCCCAGGTTGTTCAAGCATGTTGCAATGAATGTGTGGGAGTTCCCCAGGGACAAAATCCAAGTAGCCAAAAGGCCCTCTCGAAGGGCGAGCGCTGCTGAGAAGTCACCATTGTGCAACATGGCCTCGGACATCTGCAAAACAGGCTGGATATCCTGGCTGTCCTGGCTGTTCCAGAGAGAGCTGCTGCATGTCTCCTCCGCGTGACTGCCAAGATGAACTAAGTTAGTTGTGCGAACTGCCAACGTTCCAGAATCGCCACCGACAATTCGGACTTGCCATCGTTCTTTGTCCTTTGGGTTGCAAAATTAAAATATTAGTATATAGGGCCCCTGGAAAACCATCTTCGAGCATATTTAAACAACCGAGAAATGCCAACCCAGTCCTTGACATAGCGCACACATTGAGCCACTTGACCATTCAAGTCTGGCCTGAGCCGCCCTAAACCCCTAAACTGTTATAAACCCTTAACCCTAAGCCTAAACCCTAAAACCCCCTATAAACCCTTATACCCTAAACCCTCTTAGACCCTAAAAACCCTAAACCCTAAACCCCCAAACCCTAAACCGTGCCTCGATGCCAGGTCCCGAAGTCGGACGAAGCAGTCAGGTCTTAGGCTGAAGCTCGCCATCATTAAAGTAGGCTGTAGCAATCATAACAACAACAATATCAAATCAATAGCGAAAATAATCATGCATTATGATCATGGTCATGATAATAACAACAACAATAATAATACCGATACAGTTAATGTCGGAGTATATTAAAGCATATTATGGCACATTAGACTAGGGAAGATTATGGCATACTGCAGTATATTCAAAATCACTTCGACCACCTCGCACGATTGAGGTACACTTCAACAAAGACCACCTCCAAAAAACAATTCATCCAAAACTCAGAAATCTACGTCAAAGCGGCAGAGGCACACGACCTACAAGTCCGCAAGAACAAGTGCGGAGCATGGATGGACAGCTTTCAACTTGAAGCAGCATGGCAAAGTTGCTTGGAGATTGCGTAATCATAATGTGGCACTTACAGGAGGATCGACCCAGCTTAAATTGAGGTTTGTAGATTATGGGACGCTGGCACTCCTCGAGCTGCCTCGCTGCCTGGACTTGTGTTAACTGTTAACCGGCTTAAACTACTTGAGCCAACCTTTCTTCATCCTGTTGGGTGTGCACACGATAGACGTTGCCTTGAGGTGGTTATACGAGGTACGAGCATCACTGGAGCAAAGGCACCGCAGGAGCTGCAACAGAAACGATGGCTACGTGAGAACCTCAAAGTATGACTCTATAAGTTACATGCAATGTCATTGGCAGAGCTGCATTTCCTTGACTAGGCGGTCATCGCGAGGGGATCTTGAATTGCGCCTACATCCCCCTTCGTCCTGCTTCCAGCTTCGTTAATTCGCTGTCATCTGTCCTGTTTGGGTCTCTTTGTGCCATGTTGACATTACTAGCCCAGCGTCTGACCTGATCGACGTTGGCCACAGACCGTGCTGCCCGGAGTGCTTCCTTTATACAGACTGGCAAAGTGCCCGCTCAACTTCTTTGCGTTGATACAATTGACTCTTGCTGGTTGTCTCAGAGTCTCAAGCCGCTCGAAAACTTCATGGAAGGCTTGGTCAAGTCGATGCACCTGCTCGCTCCGGCAGCGCGGCAGCCTTCTGGCTGCACGTGCCCTGGCTTGGCTGTGGCTCCTTGGCTGGCCTGGTCAAGCGCGTTATGCTAGTCCTCCTCGAGCAAGTGTCCGTATTCTTCTTGGATATGTTCCAGCAAAATCTGTCCAGTCTTGGGAGATTCGTCCTGGGTTCCCTGAATCAACTTGAGAAGCCCACGGCATAGAATGGAAACTCGATCACCTGCACCTTTGGCACTGCGTGTTCCTGGCTCGCCTGCTCTTTGCGTCACTAGCTTGTAAATGCTGCGCACAGCATCGCCAAACTCAGCAGTGCTGCCGACAGTCTCATCAGGTGAGTCTTCGACAACGCAAGCAGAGAAAGCAATCAACGCACTCTTCAGATTACGCAGTTCGAGCGAGTCGTGCTGATCGCAGAGCGAATTCAGCTGGTCCTGCCAGTCCTGGGTATCCAGCTGAATAAGATATGACTGCTCGAAATCGATGCTTTGAGCCGCGAGAAGCTGCGAGCCAGACTCCGTCAAGACACAAACTGAACTCGTCTCCAAAATACCCATCTCTCTCTCATCGCGAAGCAATAGAAATACGCGCTCTTGAAGTTGACTTATGGTACTTCCAGGCGGCATCGTTCCAACATCCAGAACCTCTCCACTCATGCGCAAGCGGACGTGCGGCTCCATGGCGCTCGAGCTTTGGAGTCTGTGTTGTAGCGCAGTCTTGAAAAAATCAGGCCTTTCTGCCTTCAGCATTTACAGTGGCGAAGAGTCAGACTTGGACTGCTAGGTCATCTACGTCGTAAGGTTGAAGACAGGAGCAACCGCCGGATGTGTGGAAAAATGGCTTCGGAACCATTACGTGTAAAGGTTAATTATGATGAGTTCTGCCCCGCTGGCACAACTCATCCGATCCACTCACAACAGGGTAAGCTGTCGAGTTTGGGTATCGTCTGCAGCTCTCCGGAAGCTCTCTGCAGCACTCTCCTTTCCATCTATGCCCGAAGTTGCAACCTGCACCTACATTGCATCTGTCCAGCCAGCTCGGGACGCCAAGTTGCTGTGTGTCAGCGAAGGCATGCATCCTCCACCTTTGCACAGTCGACCTGTGACGGCTTTCGGGGTTAGGTGCGCTTTTGCGGGTTGCCAGCGATAGGCGGGCAGAAGCATCAAAAAAGTTAGCATACTTGCTGCCGCCCTTGTTCGAGGAATCTGTTGATCATCATCAAGGTGGTCCATACTCCACACGTACTGAGTAATAACAGCAATATCAGAAAACTACCTAATGAAGGGTACCCTAAACGGAACTCTAAGACCCTACACCTAAACCTAAATAGTAATCGCATATGCGTATGGAATGAAGCCGCACAGGCCATCCTTGCCATAGTTTCGGGAACTTGTTTCCACCAGGCGATATATCTCTTGGACCTGCGCCTTGGGTCTTGCGTAGATGCTCAATATGAAACATACCCCAAGGCTTCGTCAACGTTGGGTTTAGGGTTTCGGGCTTTATGGGGTTTAGGGCTTCAAGAGTATAAACGGATCATATAGGGGTTTTGGATGGTTAAAGGTTACCTACCCTACTACTACTACTACTACTGCGCCTTGGGTCTTGCGTAGATGCTCAATATGCAACATACCCCAAGGCTTCGTCAACGTNNNNTAAAGGTTACCTACCCTACTACTACTACTACTACTACTACTACTACTACTACTCCTACTACTACTACTACTACTACTACTACTCCTACTCCTACTCCTACTACTACTACTACTACTACTACTACTACTACTATTTTCTGTACTTGTTCAACCTGGTATGCTCGGCCAAAGACACCCCAAGGCCTCATGTACCCATACCTAAACCCTAAACCTAATCCCTGAACACCAAACCCTAGTAGGGTTTAGGGTTTAGGGTTACCTAAACCCAAAACCTAAACCCTAAACCCTATAAGCCCCAAAAGCCATACCTAAACCTTAAACCGGCCTATGTAGTATGTACTTCGGCCTTAGAGGGGTTCCTGCAACATAGGTATCTTCGTGCCTAAGTACTGCGCCATAGGTCCATGAAGCCTTAGGGCATGCTTCGAAGGTGTACTGTGCTTAGGGCTTTGGGTTTAAGGGCTTATTGGCTCGGAAATTGACACCATTTTCGACAACAAATCTATGTTTTTCGGGCTCTTCTCGAGTTTTCATAGGAGTGGTTTAAGATTGGGATTCGATATTCGAGGTGGGTTTCTGCGCAACTTCACCCTGAGGGGTTCAGGGTTACGGGCTTCGGGTTTCGGGCCCGGGTTCATGTACCGATAAGGACACAGATTTGCCTAAGGCTGCTCAAAGAAATCCCTTCAGCTGGACCCTTCGGTTTCAAGGATGAAACGCTTAGGTTATCCACCGTTAAACCCCCTAAATTGGACTCAAGATTTCGGTCTCAAGGCTACGGATACATGCGGAACAGTAGACGAGATCTACACTTGAAGGCCCAGGGGACTTAGTAAGTATTGTAGAAGTAGACCTAAAAGTACCCTAAACGTAGTTAACCCACTTACATATGCCGGGAGGCCTAAGGGACTTAGTAAGTCGGTTATAAGTTATAAGTAGGGCTATAAAAGGGGCAGCTCCATTAGGGTACTTACAACTCTACTTGTAACCTACTTACGAAGTC